TATGGGGGGCTGTTGGTGTGTGGATAAGTGGGATGTGGGTGGGTATGGGGCTTGTGGGGGAAATGTGTGGGGGGGATGGTGTCTGGGGTATGTGAAGGGGTGTGGATCTGGTGGCCTGTGTGTATGGCAGTGCAAGTGGGGTGCATGTGTATGGTGGGGTGTGCATGTGGGACTTACCCTATGAACACACACCCATACTCTCTGTCTCTCCCTCCCTCACTGCCACACACAGTCTGTCCCTCATTTTACACAGGCGCATGCGCGCGCGCACACACACACACACACACACACGCAGAGTCTCTCCCTCCCTCACTGCTCTCTCTTTCTCTCTCCCCCATTCCTCATTGCAGAGATGTGAGTGCATACACGTGTGCACACACCCTCCCGCTCCTGGCCCCGGGGTACCAGCACGGGCCTTATGCTCCTACAGTCCAGTGGGAGTGTGGGGCATGTGGTGCTGGAGCAGCTGGCAGGCATGCAGGGAAGCAGTGAAAGCTGTGGCAGGCAGAGGCTTCCGGGGAGGGGGCAGGGGTGAGGGGGAGGTTGGGGATGGGGCAGGCCTGGGCTGGCCTTGCTACTGAGTCCTGCTGACTCCCCCTGGGTCCTACTGCCCTTTTCTCCTGTCAACTTTGACAGGCAGGCAGGAGCAGATAAATACAAATTTTCTAAATTTTTTAGGGGCCTTGCAGGCCAGATAGAATGGCCTGGTGGGCTGGATGTGGCCCGCAGGCCATATTTTGCCCGCCCCTGCTCTGCAGTTTGAACCTTGTATGGTCATTAATACCTGTACAAATTGGGCGAGAAGCCTGTTCTGATATCATTTTAAATTCATGTTCTGTACAAGGGAACAGATTTTGTATTTCTACAACCCTTTGCAATCTGAATTTCTTTTGACAGTAGTGACATTTGATGGATATGAACAGATGATTAAATTGCAGTGGTGTTAGGTAATCTTATATAAACTCGGAACAACAGTGGGATATTAGGATACATGCTCTGAAATAATTTTGTTGCAAACCTTTTTCTGTGGAAACAAAACAATATCTCCTTTCTTGGATGACTATCATTTGTTCATGATTTTCAAGATACCAGCAGACAGATAACTAAAAATAAAGACCTAAGGAAGTGACAGATAAATTCTTTTACTGGTATTTCATGTACCATTTTAAAATCTGCAAAAAGTGAGAATACAAGACTTTATCTTGAATTTTCTTGGGAGCAAATAAGGCTTGGATAATTGTAAAATGTCTTGAAAAGGTTTTGGAAATACTTTGCTCTGTGGCTATGCTGCAAATAAATTTCTTCTTGAACATATATTCTTTTAAAACAGATGTAATAACACTTGTGTCTCTCCCTAGTGGTCTGTTGAATACCTTGAAATCACTATAAGAGTAATCAGGTTTTAAGTGTTGTTCCTAGTCCCCCTTGTTCTTTCTGTAGTTGTTCTTGTTCTGCTCTTTTAGAAGAACGCAAACTCTGCTTTAATTAACTACTCTTTTGACGTTTCGAGTAAAATTCCTTCATCTGAAGGACATGGTGGTATTTCCCTCTCTCCCTAGGCTGTGGGAAGCATTGAAGATCAGCAGAGAATGAATCAATAGACACAGGGGTCTTAGTGGACCCTTTTAATGTTTTCCAGTAGAGAAAAGTGCTTTCTTACTTTGTTTTATTTAACTTAGGGTAACTAACACAAGCAGGAATTCTAGTGAAGACAAAAACAATTATAGTTTTAACATGTGTCCACATGTCAAGATAAATCCTAGCCTACCTTTTAATTTAGGGCCCAAGGGCCTTATGTGGCCTGCAAGGAGCTAATTTGTGGCCCTTTGGCTCCTACCCAGCCACTGCTACCCCCATCAGTGCAGCTGTAGTTGCATCTGGAGTCACTGGCCTTCCCCCTCCTTCTTCCAGCTTCCATTTCCTGCCCCAAGGGGCATTGCTGTGTGATAGCACAGTCCAGAGGGTGCCAGGGGAGCCTGTAGCTTGGTATACTGGTGCAGCATGATGCAGCACTAAAGTCCATGGTCAAGAAGGTGAGGGTGAGGCTGGGGTGCCTTTACAGGTAGGGCAGTGATGTGGGGGGGAAGGGGGTGTCTGTGCAGCATGCAGCCTGAGGGGCCTGTGGCTTGCCTTTGCTGGGGTGGTGCATAGGGGTTGCAGCCCTGTTACAAGTTGGACAGATCAGCCTTAATCATTACTTTAAACTTCTTACTAACATGAAAACTACAGACTGCCTTGTCTTCACTGTGATTTTATCTCATGCTAGTTACCATGTGTTAGGTAAAGATTTTTTCTTAGTGAAGATGCACTTTGCTTTGGTCTCTTCCAGAAAGAGTGTTACTCGTGTACTGTCCTGCAAGCTTCAACAATACCATATTTTCTTGCATATTACATATCCTGGAATATAATATGCATCTTATTTTTGAAAGGCAGAATGAAGAAAAAAGATTTTTCCAGAGTTACAGCTTCACAGCGCAGGGACAGAATCTATTCTTCAGCTGACTCACCCTCCCTTTCCTGTTTGACTAAAGCTGCAACCCTAGTTGCTGCTGAAGACTAGTCTCTATGGGTGGATCTGTGATTTTGAAAAGAGCTAATAAGTCTCCAGGGCTATGAAATTGGAGGCAAGAGAGACCAGGAGCAGCGAGTGGACAAGAAAATTGCCACAAGAAAGCTTAGCATGATTGGTGGAACATGAAGACCATTACAAAGGAGAGAAGATCATTAACACCTGTGGAATGAAAAACAATGATCCATTAAGTCAACTGATTCTCTTAGCTACGTGAATAATACTGTCACAGTTGCTGCAGTGTGAGCAAGAATCAAAGCAGGGTGCTTCTATCCTAGGCAAAAAATCAGCTTCCCTGCTTAATACATGCACTTCAATTTCATTTGAGGAGGGGAGGGGGAGTTGGAGGGAAAGAGGGGAAGGGGCAGTTGTGTGTCATTTTCAGGGGAAAGTTCATGTTATATATAAGAAAATCTGGAATTAACTGAAGCAAGAGGTGGACACATTGGATGGGAAGCAGAGAAAAATTATATAGGACTTATCCAAAAGATAAAAATGAGGTCCAACTAACCCCAGCTGCTTTAAACAGGTTGCAATGCCAAGGGTGGAACCAGGGTCCCATGAAAGTCACTGGAAAATTTTTCTTTGACTTCAAGGGGGAAGGATTTCACCCCAAAGAGGTCTCTTTTAGGCTGGCCCCTGAAACTTGTGATTAGGAGTAATGGGCTGAAATTAAGCACAGTACAAACATTTTAATTCATTTTATTTTATTGAAAGATTCTGGTTTTATGTATGGTATTTACAAATGATTAATAACCAATAGAATCACCACCTCAGACCTTCTAACTCCTTTTTAGGGGATTGTCCTGTATTTGAAATGACTGCAACCAGTGAACTGATCCTTTTCTTCTGGGACATGGCCTGTTAGATTGAACAAGACCCTAAGTGTTTTCAAGACACATCTACCCCGCTTCCACTTGCTCCTTCTAGTAGAATTTTACTAATATTAGTGCAGAAATGGGAAATTTCCTGATAAATGTTTGCCTTGTAAGGCTTAGATTCCCTTCTGAGTTCAAGTAGGAGGCTAAACCGTATGTTATTTAGGTTTAAACAACCTTTTTCTCTTTTTCCTTCCCTCCCCCCTCCCCCCCCAAATTATTATAATGCTTTCTTGCTGAAATTAATAGGTTTATAATATGCTAACATAGGCATTACAGTATATCACCAGCTATCTGTGTCCCTTTGGAAGGCACTTGTTCAAAAGCAATTCAGATAGTTGAAGTCAAATAGGTAAGAGTAACTGTGACAGGTTCTGTTAGAAGTACAGCCATTTCTCTTTATTTACCTTTATCTCTGCAACATCTGCTTCCCTATGCCATAGTGTTCACTTACCAAGCTATTTCAGGTCCCAGCCTTTAACAGGTCAATAGCTTTTAGGTTTTTTTTTCTTCTGTTATACTATTCTCTTGAGCTTTCTCCCAGTTGGCTTACAGGTGTTAGTTACATGCATACAAGTGCCAGATCAACATGGCAATTGCTAGATTACTGCTTAGATAACTGAGGATGTATTGTATCATGATTTGATTGTACTTAGTTATCACTTAATGAAGTAGAAGATATATATTGAATATATTTTAAAATGTTCCTATGTACTGGTATTATTAAAATGCTGTCTGCTCTTTGTATTGATACAATTTAATATATTTTGTATTACTTTCCTGTAGGTTTTTGAAAGTGCCACAGATCCTGCTGCTGTAATGGAGATGCTGGAAAGTAAGTATAATTAAAAAATGTATGTATTCAGTCTGCATGTGTGATGGGAGACAATGTAACTGCTCCAGATGGTCACAGATCAAATCAATCTGTCCATCTGTCTGTCTCTACCTCCATTCATCCAGCCTAGTTGCAAGGCTAGCTGCACATTTTTCCCATTCTTGACCTTTCAGGGTTCACCTCTGTGTAAGCAAGGCCTCAGGCAATTACCTGATTTTTCCCTTTCTTTGGCTGGGACTTGGACTGCAGAACCTCATGTACTAACCACATTTACCCAGCAGGTCTAACTGGTTTCAGTACCTGTAGTTCTTCCCTTTAAGAGTCTGTGAACAGTGGTGAATGTATAGAACCAATGTTTCAGGGATCAAAGAATTTAGGAAAAAAGATTTTAAAATAACAGTCTATATACATGGCTGTCTTATATGTCTTCCATCACCTGGACTTGCCTAGATGGGCTTAAGTTCTTCAGACAGATGACTGTTTCCAGCAGGTAACTATCTTAGTTTCAACAGCTTTCCAACAACTACCTACCCTCTTGAAACAGCAAGTGTCCCTTTGTTTTTATCCTGTCAAGGCTTTTGTGCCTGTGAACGAAACCAGAGTTCTGCAGGATGTTGAGCCAATGGCTCTCCTGTCTTTCTATAACAATCCTTAGGTGTTAAACATGGAAAGCTTTATCATGAGCCATTGCTTCTTCCCCACTACTTTCCTTGCAACCTTCTGTTAAATTAAACCAATATATCCATGTAGTAAACATCAGTAAACAACATTTGTAAACAGTTGGTCTTCCTGTTGTTACACAAAACCTTTATTCTTGTTATGCTTTGGGAATATTGTGAATGCATTCTATCTTTTCAGCTTCCTTGACATAATTTATTTATTTTCTTCTAGACAATGTGACGAAATTTGGATTAACTCAACTAGTACCTCCAGGTAATGTGGAAGGAAATAAGCATTTTTCAGAACAGTGGGTAATTAGTTGAAAGTAGGAACTCAGTGGAGTTAACTTTGAACACCACCTCCCACTTTCTTTCCTTGTTCTATCTTATCTTCTGAGATGTTTTAGTTATCTGCCCCCCCAGCTCTGCATATACCTTTATTAAATTGATGCTGAGACTAATAGCTATTTTATGACTTATGACTCATTGGATGATTGGTTGGGGATATTCATATTGTTTCTTTAATTTGTTTCCTCTGATTTTTTTCTATTTTTGTTATTATTGCTGGTCATCAGTGATATTTAATGTAACATGAATAACAACATAGGGTTCAGTTGAGCAGATACTAGCACTGATGCTATATAGACTTTTCAATCTGGGTTTTTAAGAGTGAAAAAAGACATGGACACAGCAGAGTAATCCTGCCCTTTAAAGGAACTGTATAGGGAACATTTTTATAAACTGGGGAGTTACTGCAATTTCCATTTAATAAAAAATGTGGTGCTCTACTGCCTGGTCTCCCCCCCACCCCCTCCACTAAAATATCGTGTGCATTTTGCATTTGCTTTTCCACAGAGTTTTGTTTGATGCTCATCTTCCACTTGTTTGTTTTAGCCCCTCATCAGATGAGCTTTATTTTGTGACATCATCTGATTTCACAGATTTTTTTGAGTCAAAAGCAAGGAAACAGAAAATTGCATGAGGAAGTTGTGGATGGAGTTTTTTGAAAAGGCTGAGGTAGATAGATAGATAGATAGAACCTCAGCCTGTCATAAGCCAGAGGTAGCTGACATTATCTTCCACAATGACTATTTTCACACATACTTCTATTTTTGTAGTTGCCTTTTTGTATGTGCGCATACAAATTGTCATCTGCTTGGGTTTACCTGTCACCTGATGGCAGCAGCCCCAGTATATGTCATGTTAAGGAGAGATTGTTCAGTCATATCCCAGAAGAATGGGCATTAATTACCCTAGAACTTAGCAAATGCCTCTAAGACTACTTGACAGTTGTTATGTGATCATGCATACCTTTCTTAGTTTTAATTTCTTCAAAAACCATTCAGGGCACCTACTCCTTATTCAAGATTTTGTCTCTAGCCATTGACAAATGAAACCTTTATGCTGATATAAGTTGCATTACTCTGGTATAAAAAAGTAGTAGGTGGATGATGCCAAAGTAATTTTATGTAATCTGATGAATACATCCCCTCAAAGAATCAGAGGAAAATTAGTATTGGAATGAGTTATTCCATTTCAGGTTTAATTTGTCTGCGTCCAGCCTGAGGAAGTTACTTGCTAAAGACAAACAGGCAGTTGTTACCTGCTCCCTTGCCACCTGATGGCAAATCACAGTAGCAGTTGGTTACAAAGGCTGCACACAGATATTCAGGGAGGTTAGATCAGATTAAAAATGTCCCACTCCCAGCCTAACTTAGTTTGCGCAGGTGTGGACCTTTCACTAGTTAGGTGGATAACTGTACATAAGTTTGCATACAGAAGTTCAGGACAGTTATACTGGTCTAAAAATGGCCAACCTGGTCTAGGTTAAGTGTACCTCCAAGGCAGTCTAAGCTTGGGTCTGGCGAGACCAATCTAACTGAACGGGGGCTGGTAGGAAGTGGAGGCAGCCCTAGGGCTCTGTGGGTTCAAGCTGTGGTGGGCGGGCAGGCAGGGGTGCCCAGCAGGCCTGGCCCGGCCTGTACAGCTCCGCAGGGATGGGCTGCAGCCACCCTGTGCACGTGGGGATGCTGCCTGGCTGGGGCAGGTTGCTGGGCTTGGGGGGCTTCCTTCTCTGGGATCGGCCTCCCTGTACGCTGGGCACAGTGCAGGCAGGGCAGAGCCATCCCCGGTGAAAGGGCCTGGCCATGGGAGCCCCCTGGAGCCTATGAACAGCCACCGCAACTGCCTCAGCCTGCCCGGGCCCTGGCCTTGCCCACCCGCAGCTGCCCTCAAGGGGCGAGGGCTGGGGCAGGCACTGCACAGAGCCACTGCGCTGCAGGCTGGCCGGCTTGGCCGTGAATACCAAAAAATGTTGCCTACCCCTGAGTCAGAACCACCCCCAGCCCACCAAACCCCACCTCCTGCAAGTTGCTCTGGGTTCTGGTTTTATCTGTGTTTGCTGATGCTGGGAAGTAAGGAAGTAAGTTGTGGTGGGGGAGTGGTAGGCAGGATGGGGTGTAGGTTTGACTGGGGGGTTGTTTGTCTGGAGGTGGGGAGGGTTAGGGGGAGAGAGTGCTCCATTCCCCCAAGTCCCCCTGTAGACCCCACCTGATCCCCCCTTTCAGACCCCAGTAATCCCTGCCCCACGTGGACCCAATCCCTGCCTATGAACTGCCCCTCCAATCTCCCTGTGGACCTCCCAATCCCCCCATAGGCTGCTTGCCCCCCTGATTCCCCCAACTGCCCCCTGCTAGCCCTCCCCATCTCAACTTATCTTAGATCAGGTATCTATTTTTAATGTAGTCTAACCTACCTCTAACTTTCCCCAAAGTCTGTGTGGAATACTTTGGGGTAACTGCATTTTGTCTATTTATGATCCTGGTGTAAATGCCATTGTCATACATAAGCAGGTATAAATTCCCTTTCCCTGGACACATCCTGAGAAGTGTGCACGTGCAGGGGCATGTGCTTCCCATGGGACAAATAGTAGTGGCACATATTTCTGTCACTGGTATTTGTCCCCAGGTACACCCCTGCATGTGCATTCTGGTGTGCAGTAAATTGACCCAGGTGGCATAGGGGAGGCTGGGAGCAGCACCTGTGTTGGCCCCAGCAGCCTTACCTGGCATTCTGGGGGCCTCCCAGGGCATCAGTGGAGTTGAGACGGTTGCTCAGAGCCTGGCTGGCAGCCAGACCATGGCTCTGGCTGGCTAGGCTCCATTTCTGGCAGTGAATGCTGCTGCCGTGTGCGCCACACTGCTTTTTTTAGCAGCAGTTTTTTTTGACACTGGGATCCCCCATTGTCAAACAAAACGACCGTGCTGCAAAGTAGCAGTGCAGCGAATAGGTGCACGTGCGCTGTGTATGGTTTGGAGCACTTCAAACAGACGCTGCAAGCTGCACATACATACTCATCAGGACGTGCCCCCTGTGTTCATTTCAGATTTTAAACTTGAATTCTTATGTTGTTATTGCTGTAGCTCTGCAAAAAAAAAATGCAATTAGAGTGTTTCTTACCATGAAAAAATGAAAAATTTAAAACTCTTCCTTCACTCACAAGATGACTGGAAGGAGTTTTGCTCAATTTTTTGACAAATCCCATTGTAACCCTTATTAGTGAAAATGTGAGTGCTAACTCCAATTTGTCTTTTTGACAGTTGAACCTGGGTCAGCACCAGTTCAGTTAAACTGGTCATAGAAATGGTTCTGTTCCATAGCATAGAGAAGGCCTGGATTGGGGATCTGTCAGTCCCAGGTTGTGACCACTCAGGTCTCAAACTGAGACCACAGAAAATGAACCCAGCTATGAAAGATCAATGTAAAAAGGATTAAAGAACTTGTTATCTTTAGCACCCTTTATAGACGTTTTCTTTCTTCAGATTATTGCTTTTAAGAGGAGAATCTACAGATTACAGGCACCGATGGTCAATCCACAATAAACATCATCTTTCATAAGGACAAACTGAATTGTGAATTCACCCAGAGTTTTTAAACAAAAACAATTCAGGATTTTCAGTGCATGGTATGCGTCTTCCTACTTGCATTTTCCCCCAAACTTCACAGCTTTCCACAGAAAGTCAGATGGCTCATCATAGATGGTGAGACCTGTCAAAAGCTCAGTAGGCAGAATTAGACACTTGATTTTCATAACTACTTAGCACCCTTTAGTTCCCAAGGTGGTCATTCTAAAAGCTGAACATTTTGAAATGAAAAGCCAGCTACTTCATTTACATGCCTACTAAAGTGCTAAAGTTTGTTTTTTTTGAAAATCTGTTCCTAATCCTTTTAATAAATCCAACAGTTCAGATTTCTCTACAAAGGCCACGTGTAAAGTTCAGACTATTTTAGTTCATTGTGAGTGGGTTACAGTTTTTATGACTGAAAGTTGCAGATCCTGTCCAACCAGAGGAGTAGCCACTTTTATGGCTTGTATTCAGAAAATGCTGTTAGGAGAAATTTATAGAGCCACAATCTGGAATTCATAGTTTTGTGAACAGATATTTTCTTGATACTTCAGCAAATTTAGATGCTGGTTTCAGGAAGGCAGTACCTCTACTATATTTTTAAGAAGTGTTGCTTTCCAGACCACCTTCTAGTTTGGTCATTCCAGTGTGAAAGAAGACAATGAAATGAAGCTGCAAAAGGGGTTGCTCACCGCTGTAACTTTTGTCTCTGAATATATTGCCTACATAGAGCAATACTGACCTTCCTTTTTCTCCTCTGCTTCAGAGCTCAATGTCATGGGCTTCTGGAGGCAGAAAGAATTATAGCAGAGCTACAGATGTAGGTATTTATACCCCCAGTCAGTAAAATGTTGGACTCAGCAGTGCTTGGAGGGGCTCCATGGTTGTGTGGCCAAGTATGCGACTCCCACAGTGTGCCTCTATGGATGGAATACATTCAGACAATAAAAGTTACTTTGGGAAGTAGCCCCTTTTACTTCTCCTGACACTCTCTGGTGCCAGCTGTACTAAACAACCATAAGAATGTCAGTGTCACTTTTATAATCCTATTACAAACTTTTCTGTTTTTTTCATATATCTAGACAATTAGGTTAGTAGACTGTAGGGGTGCACCGATAGAGATTTTTGGGGCCGATACCGATAGCTGATTTTTAAGGAGGTATATCGGCTGATACTGATCCCATTTCCAATACACATCCCAGCAGCTTGAAGAGCAGTGTCTGGAAGGGAAGGGGGAAGGGAAGAGGTGTGGGGGGCACCGATCGAGGCTCCCATGGTGAGGGAGGGAGTGGGGCTGGGGCAGGGGCTGGGCCAGGTACTGCCCAGCTGGGAAGGGAGAGGGGGTGTGCACCCCAGGAGGGCATGGGGGTGCGTGCCCCCGGATCTACATGGGGTGAGGCAGGCTGCCACTGTGGGCTGAGGCTGGGACTGCACAGGGCTTTTCCCAGCGGGGGCTGGGGTGGGCTGGGCTGGCATTGGGAGGGGAGCTATGGGGGGCTGAAGCCACCCAAAAATGCACCATAGCCCCCCCAAACCCCTTCCCAGTGCTGCCTGCCCTGAGCGCAGCCCAGCCCAGCCCCTGCTTGGAAGAGCCCTGGCCCCAGCCCCCAGCGGCAGCCTACCCTGCCCCGTGCAGATCTAGGGGGCACACCTCACCATGTCCTCCCAGGGTGTGCGCAGCAGCGGGAGCTGCCCCATCTTCCTGCACCCCCTGGACGAGCCGCAGCTCTGTCTTGCATCCCACCCTGCTCTGGCTGAACAGCACCTGCCTCAGCCCCAGACCCACTCCCTCCCTCACCATGGGGGCCTTGATCAGCCCTTCGCCATGCCCCTTTTCTTCCTCCTCCCCCTCCCCTTCCACCACAACAGATTTACCAGCTGCACGCAGCTCTCCATGCTGCTGGACTGTGCTCCTCACCACCTACGTGCTGCGCTGTGGCTGCGCACATGCACGGGGCACTTATCGGCCACATTATCAGCCACATCAGACCGATTTTCAATGGTCAATTTTCTTTATATTGGTACCGATCCAATATTGGACTGATGTATCGGTGGACCTCTAGTGGAGTGATTTTCAACCAGGGTGCCATGAGATTCTTTTAAGTATGCCATGCAATGTCAGCACTTTTTGGTGTACAAACACCTACACATTATTCACAAGATAAACCCAGAGTTCGCAAATCCATAACATCAGAAACATTCTGACCTGTTGTGGTCTTTCTGAGTTCTTTGCAAGAGAAGTATTGTTCTAGTATTTTTTCATAGTCAAAACATGAGTAAAAGCTAAGAGCTGGCATTTTTCAGGAGGTTCCTTGAGTCTAATGAGGGGTGCCTTGGGACTAAAAAGGTTGAGAACCACTGGATTAGTTGTTAGTACAGTAATTTGAAAAAGTGCATTTATATTATGACCTGAATTCCGGTCTCTCTTAGGGCATTGACAGGATTCCTGTCTTAAGTCAATAGAATTGGGATTTGGTCCTGTATGCTGAGACACAGATATTGTACATATTATAGAAAGGTCATACTCTGTGAAGGCCCATTTTGAATGCTGGGAGGTGCTGACTGCATTTGTTCTCTTGATAGTGTCCATAATAGATGACAGTCACCTCCAGTATGATTAGGTCCTAATATAGGAAGAGCAGGGATAGATTTTAGTCCTGATGTTGCACAGCTTTGGAAATTCTGTGCAGTACAGTGTGATAATGTGCATTGTTGCAGTCATTTCCATCCCAAAATCGTTTGGGGCACTTGTGACAAACTGAGTGTTGAAGATGGCATCAAGCGCCAATGTTGCTATGCTAAGCCAAGTCATTCATTACAGATGAAAGCATAAACCGACTTGCTTCCTTCTGCCTCCTTCATTTCACTTTCAGGATAGAGACATTAATCAGGAGTGGAATAGTCAGAGCAATAGAAATAAGGCTAACAAGTCATTTGATTTAAAAGCAGTTATTTTCTAAGTCCCTGAGACTGAAGTATGACCTTACTGGATGGAGCCTTTCTCACAAATTAAAAAAGTGAGCACACAACAAAACAATCAATATTCACTGTTGATCAGTGTCTCTGTTGTTGCAGTTTTCTTTGTAGTGGCTATAAGGCATGTAAATAGAGAGCCTCCTATTTACATTTTGGTTCAGGGTCATGTATAAAAAAAGGATGAAATGCCAGCGAATCCTGAAGCAGGTCTGTAGGGGTAGTGCTTCCTTTGACACTGCTGCTGGGACTGCTCTGTGTACTGCTGACAGTCTTCCCTAATGTAGAAGAAGGGCAGCATTTCTCAGATCTCAGAGGGTCCCTTGATGAGTGGTGATGGGCTTACAGAGGCCTTATCACAGACTAAATAGAAGGAAAATCAATCCTGGAAACAGTTTTTGCTTTTCCCCCCTTTTTCCAGTAGGGGACGATCTGGCTTTTTATGAAGAGAGTACTCGAGATTTTCTCTTCCCCGAGCCCATGCTGATGCCTGCGTATCCTGGTGTGGACAGAGAGGTATTGATGAAAACGGCTCCTGGTTTTCCAGTAAGTTGCCTCCAAATGGCATTTGCCATGTGTAGCTGAAAAGGAGAAAGAAGGAGAGATGTGGTTCATTGGGCAGGTGGTAGCTTTGTGAGGATTTCAGTCTGAGACATGAATTTGAACCACTCCTGAACACAGATATGCTCAAGTGATTGCATGGTCATTACAGGGTCTTGAAAAAAAGTTTAAAATATCTACCAGTTAGAGACCAGTTAGCGTGGGGACTGGGAGTCCAGAAGCAAAGCCCAGGATTTCCTTTCTTGTCAGCTGCTGTGAAGGGACAAAATGCTGGTTAGCACCTAGTGCAACCCATTGACTGTAATTGGGGACATCAACTTCACTATCCATTTCCTTCCCTCAGGCATGCCCTTAGTTTACACATCATCCTTTTTGGGAAGGTCTTTTCTCCTGGTAAATTTCTCGGTGTCTCTTTCTCCTGCTGCTCTTCAGCACCAACGGCAGAATACAACCGACAAAATTCTCATCAGTTTTGCTAACTGCATTATGCAATGGAAGCAATACAACTGATCAGAGTTTTTATTAATTTCATAATTTCATTCGGATACTGCTTGGCGTAGCTCTGAGCACCAGCAGACTTGCTGAAACAGCTTCCCTGTGGACTCGAGACTTCATTGGTTCATGTTCAGAAAGTTATCTTCATTCCCATAAGGTGCAGAATGGTAGTTGGTTTTAAATGAAAATGTAAATGCTACATAAATTGGTGGCTTGAGCTTACACCAGGCTAGACTTTTTATTCACTATTGGAAAGTTCTGCATAACATAGAGATACTTTCATGGCTCCATGTACAACTCAGCCATGAGCCCGACTAACTATCTGTGTATAATATATGTTCTGATAAGCTAAAGGTTATACTTATGTTTTACTTTTAACTCAGTCCTTAACTTACAGTTGAATTACTTTAAAAATACATCACACATTTACAGTTAATTCAATGTTCTTTTATGAAAGATATTCTGAAACAGGATGCAAATGCCAGTCACAACCAGTATTTTATTTAGTGTATTAGGTAGGTCAAGAGGAGATAAGTCTGGATTTCATCATGTGAAGTAGTTTGATGTGCTGCGGAAAATTGAAATGCTTTTATTAATTTTTTCCACAGTAGTAGGAAAGGAATAATTTTGTACTATTAAAATGGTTGGTGAGTTCCATTAAGCCTTTGAATGGTTTTATTAACCTTAGTTTCCTGATGTTGCCTAGAATTATGATTAAAGACCATGAATTAACATTGCACTGATTGAGAGCTAGAATTCCTGTTCATACTTCCTTCGTGATATTCTGTTCTCCCTCTCTCTCGTCGTAATTGTTGGTGGAGGGAGACCAAAATGACTTCAACTTCACCAGTAAAATTCAGCAAAACAAGGGCTAATTTTTCTTGCTTATTTCCAATTAAGTTGCTTGGTCACACACATCCTGGAATTTTTCACAGGGGAGAAGTGGTCAGATGATGGGATTGTCCTGAAATCCTGATAATTTAGCTAATTCTTCCTTTAGAAAATTAACAGTAGCCACTATCACAGAAGTTTCTTTTTTCCTGAGTATCTTCATTTTCTCAGTTACCAAGTTTATTGCTACTGATGTTGTTCCTCTTCCCTTAAAGTATTTCCAGCTCACTTGCAGGACAAATGCTGGCACTTCATTTCCAAAGGGACATTTGGATCACAAAGATCTGAGTGTTTAAAAATAGCATGTTGCCTTCCTTCATGCTGATATTTCAGTTTGGTCAGCTACCAGTATTAGAATGCAGCATTCAATGTAGTTACCTGAAGTGAGGTTCCAATAGTACTGGCAAAGGTTATTGCAGAAAAATAGCCACATCTGGATTGAAGCTGTCTTAATTCTGATAATTTTTATAATACTGTACTTTATTTTTGGTACCACATTGGTCTCTTTTATTGTCATTCTTAGTTTTATTTATTATTACAATCTCGGTGACATTTTAGGTTTACCTGACTGTTTTATTTGGTGTGCGTTGTGTCTGATTGCTTCTGCTAATTCAGTGTAATGGTTTTACAGTTTAGTTATCTTGTTTTTCCGGGCTTGCTCTTGAGCTCTGTATAATTCTCTGCAGAGTACATTGCATTCACTCTGTAATTTGACATTATTTACTGCACTTGTCTAGATTCTCACTGTTGTGTATATGACATACTACTAACACAACACTCAGCTTCAGTGGCCTTCTCTTACTCTCATTTATATTTTAGACAAGATGGTTTATTCAGTTACAAAATTGGATGAGTAAATCATTTGTGTCCTGGCAAAGCAAAAGTCAAATGTACTGTGGTTGGTTCCACCAATGATCTTCAAAATTTGGGTCAAATTTATAATCCATGTAGTGTTCCTGGCTGGTCCTAGATTTCACCTGAAAGTCTTGATACATAATGTGGCTGTGTTTTTATACAACACTGTGACTTGATTTTTCTCATTTCATAAAGAAGTAAGGCTGGAAAGGACCTCAGGAGATCATCTAGTCCACTAGTTATAACATATAGCATCTAGTGGCTCAACCTGTATTGCAGGGCTGGGTCCTTAGTCTATCCTTGCCTATCATTACTGCATTTCATGCATTGTTTCTTTTCAAGGCTTTGTATGAATAGATGGAATTGTTAATGTCTCTGAACAGAATATTTGGTCCTGGAGTAATACTGATCTTACACATTTTTACACTGGTGTAAATCTACTGACTTCAGTACATTTAGATGAATGCAGAATCATGTCTGCTGACCCATTTATAAGGTTTGGGGTTATTGATAATTCAGTACATGGGCAAACAAATGAATTACTTTTACTTATCAAGGCTCAGGAATTTATTGCACATCAGCTGCTCCACAGTAACTGTTTGTGTGCCTGCTCTTGTGTACACTGTAAGAGGAAGCTCTATTGCAGTGACATATCCCTGAATGAAAAAGTGGAAATTCACTGCAGGTGAATTTCCACTTATGGTGGGATAAGAACAGGCACAAACATTTCCTGTAGAGCAGCTAATGTGCAGTACATTCTTGAGCCTTTTTAACTTAATGTAAGTCATTTGCTTGTCCGGTTCCTCAGATGACAAGAAAATGTGATCATATTATTAAGCTTAGATGTTCTTAAGGTTGCTGTTTAAGGAGTTCTCTGTCCTAGGCTCTGGCTTTCTAAGCACAGTCTCTATCACTGCCTTCATATCCAGGCTAGACTTACTGAGCCATATCTGCCACAATGCATCATCAGGAATCAAACAGCCACATCCTGTGGATTCCATCAGGACGAATCAACAGAAGAAACCTCCCACTTGGTTACAGTTTGATTTTTTTAGCTGTTGTTTCTAACAAGGCAAGCTGTCGTCTAATGTACAGTGAAGCCAACTCACTTTTTTTGCAGTGTGTCTACAGTCAAAATAATGCATGCTTAATACAGATTAAAGGCATTCAAACTATGTAAGGGCAATGTTGAAGTTGCTTATTTAATGCGCTCAGATATGCAAGCGTATGAGTTCATGCAGCCTTAACATACTACTTGGAAAAATGACTCTTCAGTGTTGGTTTTATGGAGTTTCAATTATTGTCTCAAAATGAATTGTGGCCTCTATGTGCCTTTAAAAAAAATTACAAAGATTTCTTTTGTGACTGAAAACTTGTGTAGGGCAAAGGAATTCTAGTCACTCGTCACAAGGGAATTCTAGTCATGTCCGCTGGCTATGAAGCATTTTAACATGGCATTTCAATCTAAAAATAATTGCTCAAGTTGTTGGTTTGATTCTCTCAGGTAAATTAAAATGAAACACTGTGGCTGCTGTCCTTACTCCTTGGGCAATTCCTCGGTGTCTGTCTCTTCTGCTGCTCTTCAGCGCCAGCAGTAGAATACAACCCTAGTGAGCAATGTCTTTGAATTCTGCTTTCTCTGTTTTAGATCAGTGTGAGAGGGTCTTTCATTTCTATTCTGTTTTCAATGTGTCTGACTGTCCCTTGGCTTTATGTCTTTTATCCTGCCTTTGATTTTCATTTAAATTCGAAAGCAAATCCCACCACCAGTCTTGAAACTGTGAAACTGAATCAGATCTGTGACTATGTAATAATTCTTTCCAAACCAAGAAACAATCCAGATACTCTATGATACTACCACTCAGCAGTATTATGGAAAATGTTTATGTGAGCATCTAGCAACCCAGATCTGATTTTAAAGCCTGATATAAAGCCTGCTGAAGTAAATGGAAAGTAAACTAGATTTCAGAGGCTTTGAAACAGGCCCATTCAGAACAGGACAAATTGACTGCTACATTGATGCTGCCTGCTATCACTGTGATTGTATTTGTGAATGTGTTCTTCCCAATTCCTATTCTAGTCACTACAGAATACCTGTTAGGGCTGGAAGGCTACAGCATTTGAACCACTGACTTATTCTGCATGAATTCTTGGAGTGTCCTTTCCTGCCTATTTGGCTGTGGGCTTGTTCAATTAGATTTAATTCATGTGACAGACCACATAATGGTCTTGAGTAATAACTATTTCCATCAAGAGCAATATGTCCTGAAAAGCGGGTGGTCTGGTAGCTAGAAGCTTTGTTAAATGTGCTTGTACTCTGTCATTTGTTGTGGATTTCACTGGTATTTAAGTGTAATTTTAGAGGTAACCACTGACATAGGCCTTTCCTTTTCCTTCTCACTCAGTACCTGGGTTAAGTGCTTTAATGGCTGTAAGTTGTACATTGCTATAATGGTTTGATTCTATTTTTATCATTAAGCTGCTGTGTAGAGAAAAAAGCACTGAAACTAGATGAAAGGTGATTGCTGTAGCCTAGTGAATCTGGTGTCTAAATGCTCAGCTTTAAGTAGGAAGCCAGCAAAGTCTGAAGGGTGTTTGCTCCTTCAATTTTGACACTGGGAAGGCATTCCTAAGAGTCTTCAGCAGGCAATCCACAGTACGAATATGAGCGATCAGTGTGACGCTGTAGCCAGTAGGGCAAATAATGCTCTGGCATGCATCAATTGATGCATCTCCAGCAAAGCCAAGGAGGTGATTCTTCCGCTCTACTCAGCACTGGTGAGACCACAGCTGGAGTACTGCATCCAGTTCTGGGCACCACACTTTAACAAGGATGTGGTAAAACTTGCGAGAGTCCAGAGAAGAGCCACCTGTATGATCAGAGACTTGAATTGCAAGCCATACGAGGAAAGGCTGAGGGACCCGGGACTCTTCAGCCTAAAAAAGAGAAGACAGAGAGGGGACTTGCTAGCAGCTTACCACTACATCAGGGGAGTACATCAAGGGCTTGGCAAACAACTGTTCACCATGGCACCCTTGGGGAAAACCAGGAGTAATGGCCACATGCTCCTGGAAGACCGTTTCAGGTTCAACATTAAGAAAAACTTCTTCATGGTCAGGGTGTCCAGACTGAGGAATAAGCTCCCTCCAGAGGTGGTGCAGTCGCCTACCCTGGAAATCTTCAAGAGGAGACTGGATGATCACCTTGCTGGGGCCACCTGACCCCAGTTGTCTTTCCTGCCTAGTGCAGGAGGTTAGACCTGATGATCTTCTGAGGTCCCTTCCAGCCTTACAATCTATGAATCTGTAACAGGACAGCATAGAACAGAGGCTGAGGCTCAGAGTAAAGTGTATATGAATGTGCCTTCTACACAAGGAGCACTCAAACTGTGCTAGCATAATTATGTTGTTAATTTATTTGCTTGTTTTTGTTCTAGATCCAGTTAAAGGCTTAGTAATTAAGGTAAAGGCCGTGACTGGCTGAATGGATTTTGGAAGACAAAGCATAACTCAATCTTGCAACTGTCTTGATCTCAAGTTGAATGTCTCTATATATACCAGTCAGTTGTTTAGAACTAAATTATCCTGTTGGGAAGACAGAATGTAATGAGAGAGAGGAGGAAACTCATTGTTCTTAGACTATTAAGCAGATGTAGCAAGCAGAAGGACTTGCTGATGCACATTTAGAAAGGTATAACAAGGTTGTTGTGCAGAGCTTTCTTGCTCACACTTGCCTGTGCACAGACTAGGACAGTTTGTTCCTGACCAGATGTATGTTTCTTGGAGCTATAAGCCTACCTGTATTGCTTATAGGTCCCTGCCTTTCACTTCCTATTCATTTCAGGTACCACTTCTGTGCTTTCTCTTTCCCCATTTAATTGCCCAAGAGTAGGAACAGGTATAATTTATTCTTAATGTTTATGCAGTTACTGTCATGTGACTATACAATTAGTGTTTTGAAGAAATAGGAATGACAATGACTAGAGATTTTGAAATTGAGTGTAAGTGAACAGATTGTATTTATTAATTACAGATGGTAATTGTCTTTCACAGTATTCATCATTGTTTCACCTGCCTCAGAAAGAAAACTGGCCTTCTGCTGTCACGGTAGTTTGGAAGTATAGTTGGATCACTGTGGGCCCATTAGGAAGACTGGTGTTTAGTAAATACAGCTGTTAAACAGGAAAGAAATCTCCAGCAAAGAAGTAAAGATAATTCTGTTTAGGTTTCCTCTCTGCTCTTGAGAAGTAATTTGGCAAACAGGATACCTCTCTGAAATTATGCTGGTATCTCAGGTGTTTTTCCATACAGTTGGCCTTGTGCATCATGTGATGATTAGGCCCATAAAGAAGGACCATTACTTCCCTGCTCCATATCACGGTGCTAGCATATGCTGCATATTGGCGAATTTGGTTGCCACATTACCTTGCAAACTTGTACTTAATTTACTAGCTACCATTAACCTTCTGTCTCTTTTGCTTTTAGTGTTTCCTTTAGGCACTTTTGATTTCATTGCACTTTTGATTCTCAAGTAACCATGAAGAACCTTGATGAAGTGCCAGTGAATTAGAACTGCTGTTGCTCATTGCGCTGCTTGATGAATGTCTGTAACGTGTCCACAGTGACATTATTTTTAGTGACTTCATCTCTCTTGTTTCTAAGGGAATTGCACCAAAAATAGAGTTTTCTACAAGAACAACCATCATAGAGCTTCCGTGTCAGTACAGGAAGCCAATTCGTGTAAGTATTTTAATATAAAGGACACAAACGTGGCTCTGGCCCAGTGCTCCTGTCACCATTTAATCTAGGTGTGTTATCATAGAATCATAGAATCATAGAAGTAGGGTCAGAAGGGACCTTGTAGATCTTCAAGTCTGACCCCCTTCCTGGGCAGGAGAAAAAACTGGGCTCAACTGATCCCAGCTAGGTAGGCATCAAGCCTCCTCTTAAAGACCTCCAGGGTAGGAGCCAGCACCACTTCCCTTGGAAGTTGGTTCCAGATCCTAGCCACCCTGACTGTGAAGTAGTTCTTACAGATGT